AAAAAAAAAAAAAAAAAGTGCCTAACAAGTTGAGGGCTAGCTGCTTACTGTGAGGAGGTGTAGTATTTACTCGACCAGCCACTAGTACTTGAACACTTGCTATGTAGATAAAGAAGTATTTTTATGAAATTAGAATAGGAGCCGTCAAGTCCTTGATATGAGAATTGAGCATCTATCCGATACAATTTCTTGTTGACCGGGAGTTAAAGGAGCGTGAATGCTGAGGAAATTTTCAGGAACATTGTAAACGTCTTTGACTAATCGTGTTGAAGAGCACCCAGGGTTTTTGAAATTGGAATTATTCTATTTTATTTCTAACACTTTTATCAGCATTCAGCAAACCCTCCACTGGGTTTAAACCATTCTGCATTTGGTCGTATAGGACGTCGTGCTTACGCGTTCTCATTGAAATTTCATATAACATTCTCATGGTTTGTTATTGAAATATTTAATTTCATGATAACTAAAATACGACTAACATAATTTTCTTTGTTTTGGGTCCTTTTCTTTCTTAAATCTTAGGTAATTGCTTTCTATTTTTCCCCTCGCATGACTCCAGTGACGTCCCTATCTCGTTAATATTTTCTTATAGAGAAGAAGACATGAATACAGTCCAAATCCGAATAAAAATATATATTAATTATCATCCTAGTCCACAATCTACGTGGCTTTACTTGATATTTATCCATTTCAATTTCTCTGGCCAATAAAATAACTCGCATAACAAGACAAAGCATTTTTTTATATATATAAAATAAACCTAAAAGAAAATGCAAGAAGAAGAGAAAGGCTCTTTCCAAGTTTGTTCTCCTCTCCTGATACAAATTCGAAATATAACCTCCATTTGTTACTTAATGATTTAGAAATAGTAAAACAGAGGGTTTGTAATTTGTATGGAAGCACAAGTTGGTCCTTTCAATTATGATTCTCAAATGACAAGGGTCAGTCAAGCCCCATGTGGGATGAGGTAGGGCGGCACCCATGGTAGAACAGAATTTGACTTTTCTAAAGTTAACATGCGTTTATATAAAATGAGTGAGAGGTTCACATAAAAACTTGAAAAGCCCATCCCAGGAGAGAAGAAGAAGCCGAAAACAAAATGGGTGGTGTCTGGCTGTGGGTTTTAGTAATGGTAGCCATGGCGGGCTTGGCCCAGGCCCAACCCGAGGCGAAGTTCAAGTGCAGCACGGAGAACGGCACGTGTGGCGGCCTGGTCGGGTACTCCAACCCGGACGGCACCACGCTGGGCGACATCAAAAGTCTCTTCAACGTGAAGCACCTCCAGGACATCCTGGGCGCCAACAACCTCCCCTCAAACGCCACAAACAGCCACAAGGTGGGTCCCAACGAGGTTGTCAAAGTCCCGTTCCCTTGCAAGTGCAGCAACGCCACGGGACTCTCCAACGGAGTTCCGCGTTACAAAATAAAGAAAGGGGACGGGCTTGACGCCATAGCCCGGACCACGTTCGCGGGCCTCATGAAGTACCAGCAGATCCAGGTGGCCAATCACTTGCCCGACGCTAATAACATCACCGCCGGGGACACGCTTTATATTCCCCTCCCCTGTAGCTGCGATCAGGTGGATGGGAGCAGTGTGCTGCACTATGCACTCGTCGTCGCTTCTGGAAGCTCCGTCGAGAGCATTGCGGAACAGTATGCTACCACACAGCAGATTCTCCTCAACCTCAATGGGATTACTGACCCCAAGTCCCTCGAGGCCGGTCAGGTTCTCGATGTTCCCCTCCGAGGTACCCACTACTTTCACTTCGCAAAGACTAAATTTTTTAATTAAAAAACTCAACTTTATTTGACATAGATCATAAATACTTTGTGGGTTGTGCCAGCTTGTTCCTCCAGTGTCAAAAATAATTCGTTGGACTCTCCGTTGCTTCTCCCTATTGCTACTTACGTCTACACCGCACATGACTGCGTCAAATGCAACTGCGACTCCTCTAACAATTACATGTCACTGCCTCATATTATATACTTCACTTCAATTTTCTGTTCCTAGTTCGTGTCATGTGTATTGAATGTGTATTTGGTTTGTGTGTTTACTGTTTAGATTGCAATGCCAGCCATCCCATCTGAAACCAACCAACTGGTCTGTTTGCCCCACTGCGGAATGCTCAAGTAACGTCTTCCTTGGCAACACCACCTCTTCAGATTCTTGCAATCGCACTACCTGTGCCTATACTGGTTATAACGCCACCGCTATCTCGGCTGAACTTGTAACGCAAAACGTTTGTGCTGGTTAGTGCAAATATTCACGTCAGAGATGGAATTGCTTCATATGCATGTGTATATATATCGTCAATGACATTTTTGTTTGTTTCTTTGTTTTTTATTGTGTTCAAAACAGTGCCACCAAGTGGTTCAGGAGGATCAACTGGCTCAGGAGCGTCGAGGAGCACCTTGCAAGCCTTGTTTTCCAATAATCTTTTCATTCTCATTCACTTTCTGCTCGTTCTTCTCTATGTTTTGTAGTAAATTACTCTGCACCCCTCCACCCATTTTTTCTTTAGTTAATTAGTCCACTCTGTAATTTTCTGAGTTCAGATAGACTGTTTCTTGTGACTGAACCCAACCTTTTATGTTTTTCTTCTCCAATGTCAGTAACTTAAATAAATATGTTCGGACGAATAAGAGTGATATGATATCTGGACTATTTTAATGTGATTAAAACAGGTCAGATATGTTTTTCCTAATTTCCTTGTCAATCTTTGTAACTTGAATTCTGACTCGTCCGTAATCTAATGTAATTTAATAACTGTTGGAATCCTAGAGTTTTAACTAGGCTGTGTGAGGCTGTGAGCTAAATTTTCCATAAATCTTCTGCATCTGGTGCATATTTTGGTTATTATTCAGTCATGGACCTCATGGTGTTTGGGTATGCTCATTGATGACTCGATACAATCATTTTACCTTGTTTGTTTTTCATCGGTTTCTTTTAAGTAAAAAAAGAATCCCTGGTTCTTCTACGAAAGAAAATCAAAGTTATCAACAGATTAATGGCATCCATGTCAGTCCATTATCACGGGTTGACTAATTCAATTCCACGCTTTCGTCTTCATGGTGTTGATTGAAGTTAACCATGATGGAGTGGAGGCTTACCTGATACTCGTATTAAGTTACGCTAGTTTGTAATCATTTCTTCTCTCATTATTATTATCACTCAGTCACTTACCTTACAAATTTAGGACCACTTAAGGGTAGATAGTCAAGTTGCCTCAGTGAAATGCCCAATGGGAGAAGCCAAAACAGCTTTCGTCCACTATCTTTTCATTTCACACAAGCACCTTGCTCAAAGGCATTATCTGTTGTCATATCAGACACACAATTATGTTAAAAATATAAAAATAGTTTTGAACCACCAAGATGGCGGCTGCTCTTAGATGTTGATTTCTGTTAAGAAACTTTCGTATTCATGATAAACTTATGATTAAATATAAATAAAACGTTACCTTTCCCAATACGAAAGACACCATAATTGTGGTGGTTGCAAAATTTCTGCTACTATTATTTTTAGTATAGTATCCTATCATTGAATTATAGATTATTATATATGTGTATTTTTTTAATAAATATTTTAAAGTCATATTTTAGCAAAATTCTAATTAATTGATAATGTAATACAGATAACAGATAAAAATTAATCTCTTACTTAATATTCTGTCTAACAAATAAATAAAATATATTGACTATAAACAGCATATTTTGGTCATACATTTATCGGTTAAAAGCTTTATGAGTTTGAGTACTTGCCATCTCGCTAACTATCTCGCGTGTGAAATGATAACGATGGTTACTGTTGTCGGCAGTTCATGTTAGCATATTTTCTGTTGTGTTAGTTACTGTAATCTGTTTTCAATGTTGGTTAGTTGTTTGGGCCTCACTTGTAACTCTATAAAAGCATTATATTGGTTAATGAATAAACAGAGAAGTATTTTCAGCATTTCATACTTTTTCGTTCTTTATAGTCTAACATTTTGGCATCAGAGCTCCTATTGGGGCCTGTGAAGAAAGTGAGTTGCATTCGTGATAGAGAGAATGGCAAATGCAAACGATAGCAGCTTTGTACAACCAGCAATTCCGCGCTTCGATGGTCACTATGACCATTGGAGTATGCTGATGGAAAACTTCTTAAGATCCAAGGAGTATTGGAGCTTGGTGGAAACCGGATTTGAAGATTCAGAAAAGGGAAGCGCAGCTTCTGAAGATCAGAAAAGGAAACGTGATGAGATGAAACTGAAAGATTTGCAGGTCAAGAATTACTTGTTTCAAGCCATAGATAGGACAATCTTGGAAACAATCTTGCAAAAGAATACATCAAAGGAAATATGGGATTCGATGAAAAGAAAATATGAAGGCAATGCAAGAGTGAAAAGGTCGATTCTTCAAGGTTTAAGGAAAGAATTCGAGATTCTTGAAATGAAATCGGGTGAGAGCATAACTGACTATTTTTCTCGGGTCATGAGTGTGGCTAGCAAGATGAGAACATATGGAGAGCAGATGCAGGATGTAATAATTGTTGAAAAGATTTTAAGATCCTTAACTGAAAAATTTAATTACATAGTTTGTTCAATTGAGGAGTCTAAAGACATTGACTCCCTTTCCATTGATGAACTTCAAAGTTCTTTTTAAGATCCTTAACTGACAAATTTAATTACATAGTTTGTTCAATTGAGGAGTCTAAAGACATTGACTCCCTTTCCATTGATGAACTTCAAAGTTCTTTGATAGTTCATGAGCAGAAATTTCACAAAAAACATGAAGAGGAGCAGGCACTCAAAGTAAGTTCTGAAGACAATGGAGGTAGGGGCAGAGGCAGCTACAGAGGAAGAGGGAGGCAAAATCGAGCCACAATTGAATGTTTTAAATGTCATAAACTCGAGCATTATAAGAATGAATGTCCAGATTGGGATAAGGAAGCCCATTATGCTGCATTCAATGAAGAAGAAGAGCTCTTACTAATGGCTGATGAGGATTTACATGGTGTGCAGACAACAAATGCATGGTTCTTGGATTCTGGTTGTTCAAACCACATGTGTGGAAATAGAGCTTGGTTTAAAGAAGTAGATGACACCTTCAAGCAACACGTAAAGCTTGGTAATAACACAAGAATGGAGGTGACTGGAAAAGGAAGTGTTAGGCTGAACATTAAAGGAGTCACTCACATAATTACTGATGTGTTTTTAGTACCAGAACTCAAGAACAATTTGTTGAGTATAGGGCAGCTGCAAGAAAAGGGCTTAACGGTAATGTTTCAGTCAGGAACCTGCAAGTTGTACCATCCTGACAAGGGTTTGATCCTAGAGACTAATATGACAACAAACAGAATGTTCATTCTGTTTGCTCAATCTGCAACCAAGAAGGATTCGTGCTTTCACATCTCTACTCAGGATCTCTCATCTTTATGGCATCGTAGATATGCACATCTCAGTCACAAAAGGACTAAGAATTTTACAAAGTAAAGGAATGGTTAGAGGCCTTCCCTCTTCATTATCTACAACAGAAAAGGTGTGTGAAGATTGTATGAAAGGAAAGCAACATCGAGATCCCATCCCAAAGAAAAGTCAATGGAGAGCAAAACAAAAATTAGAATTGATTCATGCAGATATTTGTGGCCCGATTATTCCATCTTCCAATAGCCAAAAGAGGTATTTTTTGTTTTTTATTGATGATTACACTAGAAAGGCATGGATTTATTTCTTAACAGAAAAATCAGAGGCATTTCACTACTTTCAATGTTTTAAGAATCTTGTTGAAAAGGAATCTGGTCTGATGATTAAGTGCCTCAGAACTGATAGGGGAGGAGAGTTCACATCATCGGAGTTCAATGAATTCTGTCAGAAAACAGGAATTAAAAGACAGTTAACAACAGCTTACACCCCTCAACAGAATGGGGTAGCTGAGAGGAAGAACAGAACCATCATGAACTTGGTGAGAACTTTATTATCAGAGAAGAAACTTCCAAAATCCTTTTGGCCTGAAGCAGTAAACTGGGTAGCGTATGTACTGAATAGATCTCCAACATTGGCTGTCAAGAATCAAATGCCAGAGGAGGCTTGGAGTGGTGTAAAGCCTTCAGTTGAGCATTTTAGGGTGTTTGGTTGTGTAACTCATGTACACGTTCCAGATGCAAGAAGAACCAAATTGGAAAACAAGAGTTGTAAATGTGTGCTGTTGGGAATGAGTGAGGAATCTAAAGGATACAGGCTTTATAATCCAATTACAAGGAAGATCGTGATAAGTAGAGACGTGGTCTTTGAGGAAGACACTCAATGGAACTGGAATGTCACAGAGAAGAACAATTTGCAGATTTAGAATATGGAGATACTAAAAACACTGCTGAAGCTGAAGAAGAGAATACAACAGATGGTGAATCTAATGACGAAGAAGGGAATCAGTCACAACATGAAGAGAATAAAGTGATTAATAATGAAAGGGGAAGAAATAGACACCCACCTGGTTGGATGAGAGACTATGTAGACGGAGAAGAATTCTCAGAATCTGAAGATGCAATAAATATGGCCTTAATAGATTGTACAGATCCTGAAAGTTTTGAAGTTGCTGTAAAAAGCTCCAAGTGGAGACAGGCTATGGATGCTGAAATTAACTCCATCGTGAAGAACGGGACATGGGAACTCACTGATTTACCAGCTGGAGCAAAGAAGATAGGAGTTAAATGGATCTACAAGACTAAGTTGAATGAGATTGGTCAAGTGGACAAGTACAAGGCCAGGTTAGTGGCTAAAGGCTACTCTCAAGAACATGGGGTGGACTATACAGAGGTGTTTGCTCCTGTAAGCAGAATGGACACTGTGAGAATGATAATAGCTATTGCAGCAAGTAGAGGGTGGAAATTGTATCAGCTTGATGTGAAATCAGCCTTTTTGTATGGCACTCTAAATGAGGATGTATATGTGGAACAACCAAAGGGTTATGTGCAAAAGGGGTGTGAGAATAAGGTCTACAAACTTCACAAGGCTTTATATGGGCTAAAGCAAGCCCCGAGAGCATGGTTCAATCGAATTGAATCATACTTTATGAGTGCAGGATTCAAGAAAAGCAATTATGAGCAAACCTTATTCTTGAAGCACACTTCAGACGAAAGGGTTTTAATTGTTAGCTTGTATGTCGACGACCTCATATACACTGGTAACGATGATTCATTGATGAGTGCATTCAAGAATTCAATGAAGAAGGAGTTTGATATGACAGATCTTGGCAGAATGAGGTTTTTTCTGGGAATTGAAGTTCTACAGGAGGATGATGGGATCTACATTTATCAGAGAAAGTATGCCTTAGAAGTGTTGAGGAGGTTTGGGATGTCTGATAGCAATTCTGTCAAAGTTCCTATCGTACCTGGTTGTAAACTGTCCAAAGATGAAACAGGAATGAAAGTAGATGAGACTCTGTACAAGCAACTGGTAGGAAGCCTCATGTATATTACAGCAACCAGACCTGACTTGATGTTCTCTGTTAGTTTGATCAGTCGTTTTATGAGCCAACCCACTCAAATACATATGCAGGCTGCAAAGAGAGTTCTTAGATACTTACAAGGAACTGTGAATTTTGGTATTTTCTATAAGAAGGGAGGAGATGAAGAATTGTTAGCTTACACTGACAGTGACTATGCTAGTGACTTGGAAGACAGAAAAAGCACCTCTGGTTATGTGTTTTTACTAAGTAATGGAGCAGTAGCTTGGTCATCCAAAAAACAGCCGATTGTGACATTGTCCACCACAGAAGCTGAATTTGTGGCAGCTGCAGCTTGTGCCTGTCAAGTCGTGTGGATGAGGAGAATTTTGAAGGAGCTGGGACATAATCAAGAAGGTTGCACCACATTGATGTGTGACAATAGCTCAACTATTAAACTTTCTAAGAATCCTATTATGCATGGAAGAAGCAAGCATATCGATGTGCGTTTCCATTTTCTGAGAAATCTCTCTAGAGATGGTTGTATAGAGTTGGTTCAGTGTGGAACCAAGGAACAAGTTGCAGATTTACTAACCAAACCTCTGAAGTTGGATTGCTTTCTTAAGCTTCGAGAGCAGATGGGAGTTTGTGAAATTCCTAAGATAAACTAATTGCTTGTGTTCTGTCTAAGCAATAGTTTAAGGGAGGAAATGTTAGCATATTTTCTGTTGTGTTAGTTACTGTAATCTGTTTTCAATGTTGGTTAGTTGTTTGGGCCTCACTTGTAACTCTATAAAAGCATTATATTGGTTAATGAATAAACAGAGAAGTATTTTCAGCATTTCATACTTTTTCGTTCTTTATAGTCTAACAGTTCAATCTCTATATTTGGGTCTATTTGATCACTAACAGATTCAACATTTTTTTTTTATATATAGCTAAGAGGTGTGAATCCACCTCTACATAATCGTGGTTTCACTTACAGCAATTATGTATGGCACTCAAACAAGAATATACTCCTCTTCAAGAAAATTACCACATATATTAATGCAACCTTAAGTCACATGTTAATGCTTTTTAACTATAATTTATAACCACTAGACATGTTCCAGAAAAAAAGCACGATCAAAACAAGAAAGACTAAAATTGTACGAAACCTTTAACTGATAGCAGGCCAAGATCTTGCTTCAAATTAATACAATTACGTTAAAAATTAATGTGAAAACTTACCGTAAATTCAAATTTCAGCAGCAATAAACTATACAAGTGCAGAAAAAAATATTTGAAAAAATTCTGAAACTATTGGTATTCTTTATTAATACATTAATTAATGAATACAATCACTCTGTCTCCATTCTCATTGTTCAACTATGAAGGAGACAGACCCTTTAGCTTCTTTCTCACTCTCCACAACAACGACATTATCAGAAACATTAGTCACTGAAAGTGCTACAAATTTAGGCTCATCTTGAGCATAAAATGAATATTGAAAATGACTAATCCTATTAGGAAACACCAAGACTGATGAAAAATCAGCCACCCACTTTGTGCCATTTCCACTCGCAGTTAACTTCCCAACCGTTGATCTCAAGCTCATGCCATTCACATTGTTGCGATCAATCACCACTTGATCAATGCTACTAAATTGCCCCTCTAGTTTTACAATCGGAGCCTTCTTGTTGGGGTCACCACTAAACATATTATCCACTATATTCAAACCCAAAATTTGACCCTTAATAGACTTCAAAACAACATTAGCATCCCCTAGAAACAACCCATTAGTGACATGAACTTGAACAGGATCTTCCATGACTATGCCAGTGTAATCAAGATAACAGTTGTCAATTCTAGTTAGTGAATTACCTGCCAATTTCACCAAGATTCCTATGCCACCAAAATATGTTGCCTTGTTATAACAATGCACCCCAGTTAGAATGTTAGCTTGACCCCTCAGCACAACACCAATGGCTGCTGAGAAAATTGCAACATCTGTGACTGCATTATCATTGCTAGCAAGATCAATGGCCACCCCTGAGAAGTCCTTCTCGCCCTTGTCTCCGCCGACCGTCGAGTGCTGCCCGAGGAAACAACTTGATATGAAGGTCTCATGTCCATGCTGGACCAGAATTCCTTCTGTGGTGAAATGAAGGAAAAAGCAATTGTTGATCCGGGTTCTAGCGGAATCAACTATGAAAATCCCTCCTCCTCTATAGGATGAATCGAAGAGGATGTCACGGAATGTTATGTCTTCATAGTAAATTGCATTGTTCTGAGCTTTTATGTTTTTGAAGTCATCATCATTGAGAGATTCTTTTGTCTCGAGTTTCCCCGAATTTGATGACCATAATTCAACTAGATGTCGATCACCAGGAAATGTATCAGATGCTCTCAACGTCCCTCCTTTTACCTAATGAATCATATATACATTTTGTGAAAGTTCAAATGCAAAGTAAATACGTGCTCTTAAGAATAAAAAACCAACCTAGATAAATATAATTTCCTCAATAAACTATGGTGTCATCTGTCACAACTAGGATCACAGCTGTAAAGCCAAAAAGTAGTAACTACTTAGCTATTACAGCAAAAGCAAGCATACCTTTATTGTAGTTGCTTTTGAGTAATACTATTTAAGAAAGTAATCATTATTGGAAAATATATGAGAAAGTTGTGTATAATCTTTGTCATTCCAAAAATGTTCATCTAATATTCAATTACGATATAGTGGTTGTAGCTAACAAAAACAGAAGCGAGAGATTCATTTATGCAATGCAAATCATAATAGCTAATTGGTTGTAATTCTATCTTATCTTACCATAATGTTACAACATTATTGCTATAAGAACTAAGAAGTGGTTATTTAGATTGATGGCTCCCTCCATTTCTATATCAAAAAATATTATTCTGAATATGGTCAAGATTGGTAATATAATTCATGCGCATTAGCTGTTAGGTACATCCCAAAATTCAAATATCAAAGGATTTTCTTACAATTGGTCAGTTATTCATTCTGCCTTCTTAATGTGGGCTAATCTTTTTCTGCAAATTGATATACTTCTTTCTGAAGAAATTATTATATATAGGAGTATCACACGTGGTCTACTAAAAATATGAAACATTATAATATGGTATGCGCTTGCATTGAAAGCCTTAAAAGAAACTGTAACAAAAATGGTTACAAATTATGATGATATTAGAGTAGTACACAAGCATCTTTAATAAAACTGGTTGTTGTTGGTGGGAAGTAGAAACAGATAATTTATGGCACGATCAGCCAGATCCAGTAGAAGGTATTGAACTTGGAAGTTGGAAATATAAATCTTATGCCATGTGCCTTAGCAATTATAGTCATAGAAATCATATTAGATCATTAAATTTAGAATATTACTAAATAAAATTTAAATCTGAGTCGTGAGTGTTTCTCTTATAATACCTTTTTTTTTCTCGTGCGAAAAGTAGGTGTTCAGGTTACTTTTTATATTTACTTTCGGTTATATTTTTATTTTATTTATAAATTATGCAAAGAAAATATTGTTATATAATTTATTTGCAAAACTTTAAAAAAAAATGAAACTTTTGATTTAAAAAGTAAAATAAAAAATATCCTCAACGTTCCATTCAGTACTAAAATTTACAAACAGAACTTTTGTAAAAAGACAGCACGTTTATTCACTTTTCTAGAAAAAATTCATTCTTCATACGTCATTTATTAGTTTTTTACTTAAATCTTTGCTGAAGAGTGTGACTTGTAAGGGAAAAATAAATAAGAAACGTTACATATAGTCAAACAGGTGTCATTGTCTGCGCGTTTGTTGGTGGAAAATACACACTGCAAAGTACAAAGTATGTTGAGTAATGCTTAATTCTTTCCTTTAAATTATGACATCTTTTTCGTGTCTAGTTAATGTTAAACTTTTTAAAATAGAAAATGAGAAATTTTATGAAATCAAGGGTGATAAATATTAACAAAGTATATTTATAAAAAAAGAAATACTTTAAATTTACTTGTTACATATCAGCCCTAATATGGAATAATTGGCAAAGTAAGGTATTATATTTTTATGAATTTTTTTTCCTTTTAAGACATTCATTGACAAGCCTTTTAAAAAAAAAATTGAAAATGACAATTAGTGTTTCGTTTAAATAGTTAAAAGCATTTCTTTAATAAAAAAAACATATCACTTAATCTTATTAATACACCTTTATTATTCTTAAATGTTTAATTAATTCCTTTGCGGGACCATTTTCGTTATGAAAAATGCTAACATTAATTTTGTACTGCTACTTAATAATATATTGATATATTATAATTTGATTTAATAAATTAACTTACTTACTTGTACTATTAAGCATATTAAAAAATAAAAAATAAATATTTTGAATTAACAGAGTAAACTTATTTACATTAATGTATATACAAATTAAATGTTAATCATAATATTTGTGTCTTATTAAAACTTAAAAGAGTTTAATTGAATTAATCTATCATATTTTAAAATAATATCAATTTTTTTATAAATAAATATTTATTTTTCAAAATTTTGTACAAAAACTGATAAAGGTAAATTAATATTTTTAAATCAATTAAATAAAAAAAAACACTTGATATGGATTTTAATGAATGTTAAAAAGAACAAAAATTATACGAAATGTCAAGAAATGTAGGTGTATATATTAAATGAGATAATCACTTATATATTATCCGTGTAAAGTTTATTTATACTGGTAACGAATTATATCTCTTAATTATGTCATGTCATTGTTAAAAATAAATGCGTTTACAGTGACATGGCATAATTAAGAAATATAATTAGTTGTCAGAATGTAAAAAAACTTTACACTAAAAATGTATAGGTAAGTAATTCATATCAAAAACAACCCACAAAGTACAATTTTTTAAATAAATATATATATAACAATGATTTTTATGGGTAAAAAAAATAAAAATAAAAACTGACATTCCAACCAAACATCTTGAACTGTAATAAAAGATTATATTGATTACAGCAAAGAAAAGTGAAAGTGAGAAACTAACCAGAAGATTGCCACCAGCAGATGAAGGGAATGTGATGGGTTTGCTGATTTTGTAGTTGCCACCTTCCAAATCAATGACAACCCCTCCAAGATCATTCACACCCTCCACCAATTGATCACCACCCTTCTCTTTCTGCAATTCAAATGCATCCTCCAATGCTTTCAGAATCCCATCACTGCTTTCTTCTGACCCAGTTGGGTCCGCACCATATTCACTCACGTACAACACCCTCCCACTCTAATTAACATCATACAACAAACAATAACATCATTGTATTTGTTTGTTTCATCAGTGCAAAAACAATGCAGTGTGTCTTAATTACCTTCTTGGTTTCTGACGAAACTGGCGGTGATGCCAAGGGGGCTAACTTTTCATCCAGTTTGTTCCTGAATTCCGACGCCTTTTTCTCTCTGCTCAAACTCAAACTCAAACTGAAGCATGTGGCTTCTTCCACCGCCAACCACAATAACACAAAACACGCTGCTGAGAACTTGAGCCTCATTTTTCACGCAACTTTCAAGTGGATTTTTGGTTGTACGTGTTTCTTATGGTTCTATGGGAGACTAGTTGGTGGATTTTTTAAGGCTTTGTCAGTGTTTAACAGTTTGTGAAGAAGGTAACACATGGAAAGGGAAAGGGTTCAGTGTGCTGGGCCATTGAATTCAATTGGTGGGTTCACTTCTATAATTGTCACTTTGTAAATCTGTAAAGCTTTAAAGAAGGACACGCAAACACAAGGTTGTCTTTTCTGCACCCAATGCTACTATGGCTACAATACCAAAAAAAAAAATGCTACTATGGCTATTGCTACTATGTCTTTTTATGTGAGGGGGTTTTAGTATGCCTTATGTAAGGACCAACCACATATTGACATGTGGATTTTATATAAGCTGACTCATTGTAAATGACAAGGTCAAGTAAATACTATGTAGTAAATAGAATGAACAAAACTTAGAGTTGAAGGAATGCAAAGAAAGAAGGATTTGCATAACTATAAAAGGACTGAAGTTGTTGAACTTTATAAGAAAAGAGGGAGAAATCAATGTGCAATAAAACTAATAATGAAACTTGGATTAAAACTTTAAAGAGAAAAAAGAAAAAGGAGAAAAACGCCAATGAAATTGATACAAGTAAAAAAAATGTTTTAAATAAAGAGTTAATCACCTACACACTGCTGGTATAAAGTTTTTTTATACTAACAATCAATTATATCTTTTAATTGTGTCATGTCACTATAAACACATTTAGTGTTTAGGATTTAGAGTTTAATAGTGACATGACACAATTAAAAGATATAATTGATTGTCAATGTAAAAAAATTTTATACTAACAGTGAATAGATGATTAATTCTTAAATAAATACACATATTTGAAAAGCAATGTAAAGATTTTGGAAATGTAAGTTAAATTTAGAGAGGAGGAAAAACATGGAAAAGAAATGCGAAATGAAAAGAGAAGTAATGGTAAAACAAATTATAAGAATATAAATAACTAAAAAAAATACTCCATAATTGTTGGAAATGTAGAGATTTTATTGAAATCATGTATACTCAATTCATTAAACGAATAATCATTCATTAATTTGCTGTCAAAAAATAACCATTAATCATTAATATGTGAAGTGATGCATAAAAAAATTAATATGTGAAGTGTGACACGTATTACAAAACATTTGATGCAACTATGCAAGTAATTAAAAAAATTGAAGTACAAGAGTCTTAATTATAGATTTCCGACCCTTATAGTCAAACCTTACTATACAAACTCGATTTATATGCTGAAATTAGCCGCTCTTAACTTTCCTTCAATTCGTATATTTATCTTGAAATGATTCATCTGAAACTTGGCCACTTAACTCTTTTTTTTTAGAGTAAACTTGGCTACTTAACTTGTTAATTGTTATCCTATCGAAATTCTAGTTTCTGATGAAATTTTAACAAATTTTAATACCCGCTACAATAAAAAAAAATAACATAATACAAAAATAAAGAATATAAAATTAAAATGAATAAAAATAAATAAAAGGCCGAACTGGAACGAGCTTTACGCTGAATTAATTTTGCCGAAAGCGAATAAAAAGGAAACGTTGTAAAAGACTAAAAGCTATGAAATTCCAATTTCCAAGATGCGAAGGCTTAATATATCCTTCTATGATTGGTGCAGATTCGACATTTCAAATGCTTTAATTAGAAAAAGAAGAAGAAAAAAAAACACCAATTCTCCTTTACTCTTTTTTGCAAGTAATTTTCTCTGTAAAGGTTTATTGTAACACTAAGCTTTTTGGAGTATTTTTAATTTATTTTATGAATTATATGATTAATTATAAGTTGTTGTTAATGTTGCTATTTGAGAATTGTAGAGTAAAAGAATTTGAGAGTTAAGTTGTCATTAAGGTAGTTGAATCAAAAGTTATATTAGTTCAACTTTAAGGAAAATATATAAGATTTTTCTTAAAATATTAATCTCATAAATTCATGTTTTAAGAAATCTTAAAGAAAAGTTAGTGAGAAGTTTTCTGAATCTTGAGTGAACTTCTCTACCTTTCTAGACTAAATCTCTTCTCTTTTCCTTCCTTATAGTTGATCAGATTTGGTGATTCGAAGCTTGCGGAGTCAAGAGCACTAAGTTGAAGGTTGTACAAAATTCATTTTTTCTTCTCCCTTCTTCTCGTTTCAGATTGACTAGAGGTAAAGGAAACTTTGTATTTGATTGTGTTAGATTGCATGTTGATGATTTGTTGTTTGATTTCATTATTGATGGTTGTTTTGGATTGAAAATTTGATTGAGATGATGAATATGTGGTGTTGGCATTTTTTGTAGTGTTTTGAAAGAGATGTGATGATCCATGATTTATAGAGGTTGCATGTTGTAATTGAGGTTATTTTTTAGTTCTTTGTGGTGTTTATATGTTGTATAATGTGTTGCATGTTGATGAGGACACCAAAGACCAGGCCAAGCCCATAAGGAAACTCAAGACCCAATATAAGGCATAGAAGGGTCCATGACAAGAGCAAGAGATCAAAAGGCCCAAGAAACTTTGCATTATATGGTGGCTAATCCAAGGGCAATCCAATTATATGAAGGGACCCAACATTTGGAGGCATAGGGTTATTGCTAGTCAAATGTAATGCTTGCTTGGAGTCAAAATAGAAGGTTAATATTGACTTAGTCATTAAATATAAAAAAATAAAATAACAACAACAACAACAACAATAATAATAATAATAATAATTATTATTATTATTATAAATAAAAAAAAGTGTTTGTAGTAAGTTTTGAGGGTTGAACCTCAAGTTTAAATTATGCCTCACTTTATCAATAATGTTGAGATTTTATTTTTCTTTTATTTTCTTCCAAGTGCATGAGAACTAATATGTATTAATCATTTTGAAGTGAATGGACAAAACAAATTTGTTGGTTTTATCATTGAAAGGTGAGAATTGTATCTACTAATATTCTTCCTTGAATCATTTAATCTTATCAAGAATTTGCTTAATTCTTATGATGATTCTCAAAGTTTATCACACATCATTGTTTGTGGTGCCTATCCTTTTTTTCTTTCCCATTTTTTGTTTCCTTATTTATTTTCGCATTGCCAATTCTAGATTTTTGTATGAATTTCTTATTTTCATATCTCTTGTTTTGCTTATCAAATTTTTTTTATAGTTTTTCTTGGGTCTAAATTGTGTTTCAAAATGTCCTCTTTCACCTTGCTTTGGAATCATTCCAAATTTGTGCTCTATAGGTTGAGATGTGTAATTAAATTAAAACGCATTATGAGCTCACTTTGTGCATGAATTTCATCCTAAAAAGGTCCAAAATTTGAAGTAAAGCAAGGGGATTCACATCACATGTTGGTGAATTTTTGAGTTTTAGGTAGATTAGGCATATTCAAGTTTCTGTCAAGTACAAAAATTGATATCGCTTCAAGCATGCCTTCACAACATTAGGCATGACTTGAAATTAGGGATTCTCAGCCTCATCACGTTGGGTGCAAGATTGGTGGCACTTGGATATGAGGAGAGAGACTTGTCTCTACCTAAATGGACACAAAGCATCAATGGAGTGACATTGAGCATGAATCAGATAGAGACCTTCTAGATGATTAGGGTCGGGCATGGAGTTTTGTCAAGCTATGCGTAAGGGTGTGGGAGACTCTCTACCTTAGCCACGTTGGGTATGAGTAGTTTGGCACTGGACGTGGGTGAGACAAAAAACCCTTGTCTCATTGGCATTAGGTGTGAGTTGCATGATTTTAATATGATGATTAAGTTGTATGATGAAGATGATATGATGATGGCACATTTTGTTTCAAGTTGATATACTATATAATGGTATTCATGCTGCTAATTTATAAGTTGATTACTAATAAAGTTGTAAAGTTGTATTGATGTTATAGTTGTATTGATGTTATAGTTGATTAAGTTGTTAAGTTTTTAGACATGTGGTGGAGATACATGTCTTTGCTAAAATACATAAAAACTAAAGGAAATTAAAATATTCATTGTGTGAATATAAGCTGTAATGTTCTAAGAGCTTAATTGAGAACCTTTTAATAAGTAAGTTGACTTCTGAATGGGTCATTGTTTTAAGTTTTTTCATCTAGGTTTTATGTAGTATTCGTATGTAGGTAAAGTTGAAGCATACATGTATAAAGCGATCAATTGAGTAAGATACAATATCGAATACTTAGTTTCCTAACTGAATACTAGAAGGGCATAATATTTTAAGAGTAGTTAATGGGCTAATCACATAGGAGGCTTAGTGTTGTAAACTAATGTTGTGGTAGACTCATACCCAAACTGTTATACCTTGACAATAGTACTAGACTTCCTAACTTAAGTGGCAACACTTGAAAAATCAAACTAAGTTGTTAAACAGATTCTCTAAGAGACCCAAAGTTGTTTATACTTAATAGGTTAAATGTTGTGACTCGGAACGTGTGACGACACATTAGTTGTTTATTGTTGTCCATGTTGATTACGTTGTTTTGCTGAAGTTGTTAAGACGTGTTGTGGTGTGGTAATTTGTTGAGAAGTTTATATGTTGAAAGTTGATATTAAGAATTGCATAAGATGTTGAGTATGTTGTTTATGTTGTACTATTATAAGTTGATGTTGTTTATGTATGTTATTTTTGTTTCACAACCTTACCCTTTATTTTCCTTGTGATTGGAACTACAATGATTATATTTGGTATGGAAACAAGGCAGGATTAGCATGTTTGCTTGGATGGTGGGTGATGACTCATGTTAGTGATAACTCTTTTGTGTTGTTGTTGCTCTAATGTAACATAGTTGATGTTTTAGTTATTTTATGTACAATGATGCAATTCATATATATAGTTTATATGTTTAGGGTATGTATGTAACTCCTTAAGGGGCTATTTTGGTTTTAAATTTTGTACCCTTTACTTATATTTGTCGCATGAATGTTTAAGTAACTATTGCATGATAATATTAAGTTAATTGTATGTTGTTTAAATCTTTTCATTGTATTTTAATTGTATTGTATTAAGTATAATGACGTGACAGGTCGTTACACTTATTTTTTAACAAAGATATAAATGTTAATCAAGATGTAATTTAATTAAAATTATACTAAAAGTTCTCAAATAATATAGTATATTTAAGTCTTATAAATAATAATAAAAAATGATAAAAAAGAGAAACTTATTAAAGTCCAATGGGTGAATTACGATTTTAATGGGAAAAGTTCCTCTATACAAGTCATATGTAATGTAACCCATTTGATTTAGTTAGTTTAATTTAAAAAAAAGGAAATATAAATAAATAAAAGAGGCGAGGCACAGCATGAGCAACTGTGATCCGATCTCCACTGAATGTGAAATAAAGCGTAAGAAATGGCGTCCTTTCTCCACCAACGGAACCTGCACAACCCTTTCTCCAAATTCCCGGCAACACCTCCTTCTGCATCCAATTCCAAGAAACCCCTCTCCCTCGGCGGCCCCACCGCGCTCCTAGCCCTCCTCTCCCTCCTAGTGCTGCTCGGCGTCTTCAGCCCCTGGCTCGGCAGCGGCGTGCCCAGGGCCTTCTCCACAACTTCCGCTTCCAAATGGAGTCGCTACACGCTCCAACAGGCCCTCTCCTTCGTCGCCAAAAACGGCTCCGTCATCGTCTGCATTGTCAGCCAGCCCTACTTGCCCTTCCTCAACAACTGGCTCATTAGCATCGCCATGCACCGCCGCCATGACATGGTCCTCGTCATCGCCGAGGACTACGCCTCGCTCCATAAGGTTAACGACCTTTGGCCTGGCCACGCTGTCCTCATCCCTCCCGTGCTCGACGCTGAAGCCGCCCATAAGTTTGGCTCTCAGGTTCCTCACTCCCTGCCTTTTATTGCATTCATCTAAGTAAGATTCACTTTGGGTAAACAACCTAATTAAGATTGAGGAACAAGTAGGAAGGGAAATACTACATATAGATAAAGGTTTAAAATAAAATTTTGAAGAACCTAATTGTAGATTATGTAGAAATTTATTTCATTTTCCCTTTCTTAGAAGTGGTTTAAGACAAGTTTTCCCAAATAGTTAGGATAATCTCTGATATCATATTAAGAAAGTGGTTTGGAGCTTAATTTAACTCTACAAAATCGGTATATGGTAATAGCACTATATACAAGCATTTTTTTTTTTTTTTTTTAATCTATGTTGTTAGTTTTCTAGCAATGTAAAACAACCACAAAATTGAGGTATAAGGACTAAAACATAACAAAAATTGCTCGTTTAAGAACTAAAACATAGAATGTTTAGGTGTAGGGACTAAAACGAAAATTTGGCACAATTATAGGGATCAAATGATTGGTTAAACCTTAGCTATGTGTTATGACTCTATAATGTGCTCTCCTTATCTGGTGGGATAACTTGATTGTTGTTACAGTCTTGGAAATGTAAATGCATAATTGTTATCCCTGCTGGTATTTTTCATGTTCATGTCTGCAGTCATGTTGATTATTTCTTTCCTATGTGTGATACCGAGTTTTAGAACCCATGCCTGTTCATTTTGTTGTCTAGGGTTTCTTCAACTTTACAGCCAGGAGGCCAAGCCATCTGCTAAAGATTTTGGAGCTTGGATATAGTGTGATGTACAATGATGTTGATATGGTTTGGTTGGCAGATCCATTTCCTTATTTGAAAGGGAACCATGATGTGTATTTTACAGATGATATGACTGCAGTGAGTGTTCTCTTATAAGTTCACTTCCATCTGTCCTTTGTGTCAATTATTGTATTGTTTGTAATGACTTGGAGCTACATCAATGCTGGAAACTTGTTGTCTAGGATAATATTTAGTATTCATGTGGTATGTATAATTCATACTGTAAATTTTGTGAGAAATATTGATGCTGGGGATTTTGTAGTTTCAGTATGTTTAATTTGATGACATATGATACAAAGGTTATCTATTACAAGATTGCCAAATTTAGGATTAGTGCAATCTTTTTGAAGTACAAGTTGATATTACTATTATTTTTTCTAGATATTTCATCTAGAATACACTTTGAATACCAAATTGGTTTTGCTTAATAATCATACATGATCAGTAATTCCACATTGTGCAGGCAAAAATTTTTAACATATACATTGACTTATGATTAGACTAGCTCATAGATAGAGTGATCATGTTAGCTATGGTTAATGATTAGTACCTAAAATTGTAATCAGTAGTCTGTATTCTGATTAAACCCCATTTTGTAAATGTGTGAATCAAATATACAGAGGGAACATCATGATATCCATGATATTTCTTAAAATGGACATTTAGAAACTCAATGATATAAATCTCTTACTTGCCTGGTCTTTTTAGGTTTTTCTTGTCTATTAAAGACTAAAAAAATAATTACAAATCTATTCAAATAATGACAGGAGATTCCATTGTGATCCATTCAGGGATGTCCTGATGTATCCTTGTGTGAAGATTCTAGTAAATTGTCTGTTTTTTCTTCAATTTTCTCTGTCTGAATATATGCTGCAGTTTTAGTGTGAATCCATTTTGTTCTTGTATTATTGACTTTATTTTTTAATTTCTTTGTGAAACCAGATCAAACCATTGAATCATTCCCATGATTTACCACCTCCAGGAAAAAAAGGCCGTCCTTACATATGTAGTTGCATGATTTTCCTCCGCCCTACTGATGGAGCAAAGCTGATTTTGAAAAAGTGGATTGAAGAGCTTCAGATGCAGCCATGGTCTAAAACTATGAAATCTAATGATCAGCCTGCGTTTAACTGGGCTTTAATGAAGAATGCTAAAGAGGTTTCATGCATTTTCTTACTTCCTTTCAGTCTATATAATTCTGTAGACTAATTATACTGATACATAGGTCACTTATTTTGATAGTCTGTTGGGATCTTTTTGTTTCTTATGAAGTAGCATAACCCATGCTATTATAGGCTTAAGGCCAATTAGTATATTTTGTTTCTGAATTCTGATAAATTAGCAAAGCACATGCTATTTGTGGTTTAATCATAGCTTGACAGTTTAACTGGTGCCAATTGTCAAGTCTGTACTTTATTGTTTATCCAAGTGTTGCTTCTATTTTTCGATTCATGACAATGGTTTAAAATTCCCTTGATCTAAAACTAAAATAAGTATGGCTCAATGAGGCATGGGCTTCCTTCCCATGTGGGGTTTACCGAGGTTAGATGTACATAAACATAATCTTATCCCCATAAAAGTGCTGAAACTTTATTTGTTTGATTATTTGTGGTTGATTACCATAAAAATAATAATTAACAAATACTCTAGTTGATTTTACTAAAAATTTTGTTTTTGACAAGAGCTCAATGGTGTGTTGATTGATCAATGTTTGCCATTGGATGAGACTTGGCTATTTGTTTATTCTTGATTGTTCAATGTGGTTTATTGGGCAGTACAGTATAAATCGTATCTTCAAACTGACATTGATTTTTTAAGGCTCATGTCTCATTTTGTTTCATGAATTGACTGTTATTCCCTTTTCCTACATACTGAAGGTGTATATTTTATTCCGTTGAACACTATCTTTCTGATAAATTTCTATCATATAGGGTGCTGTGGATGATTCATGCTTGCATTAGAAATAGAAGATATGCATTTTTCTTTGTCAATCCCTGTTAACAAGGCAGAAAACAGAAACTGTTTAATACTCGGTCTTAATAAAATGAATATTTTGTTTTTAAAGTGAAAAACTATCCATCAGAAGAAACTTTTTTGTGAATGTGTGGAGGGATTTTGCGTGATGCATTGTGAATAACAGAGCCCAAAATCCTTTTATGAATGAAATGCTAAAAGCACAAGCACAAGTGCACTGGGACTGGCACTGGGAAATGTGCATTGTACTTCTCATCTTTGTCACTGGTCCCCAAATGATCCGGTTCAGTGGTTCAAGTTTTGTTCCAAATGCTTGATCTAAAGTCTGATACATAACCAGTTTTAAATTACGGATATATTTGCCGCCAAAATAGGGTGGGTGGGTGGGTTTATATTATTACTTAGAACATCTAAAATGCAGATATATCTTCTATATTTTTCCCTTAATGATTACTTTTTCCATTGCAGGTGGATTTGTACCTCCTTCCACAGGAAGCATTCCCCACAGGCGGATTATATTTCAAGAACAAAACATGGGTTAAGGAAACTAAAGGAATGCATGTTATAATTCATAATAACTATATTGTTGGCTTTGAGAAGAAAATAAAGCGCTTTCGTGACTATGGCTTATGGTTGGTGGATGATCATGCACAAGAGTCTCCTTTAGGTGGATTATGATCCTTGGTCGATGACTCGAGTTTATCGTTAGCTTTGGTCCAAGCATTTGGATTCAGAAACATGCTTTCTCTGCCAATTTGTTCATCCGTATTGCTTGGTGGATGTTTTTTTTTTGAATAGATTACAACCGTTGCTGTAAACTTGCAACATTGACCTCATGATGGGTTGAAAAAAAAATGGTCTTTTGCATTCAATTTTGTGAAGAAAAAAGGTGCTTACAAAATGTAGATTTTATTTCAAGAACGAGAAAGAGAAGGGTTAATTTGGTTCTTGGAGTTTGTACCTGATAATGTATTATTGTTTAGAAGACAAAAGAATATGCTTCCACTGTAAGAATTATTTAATTCGCAGATATATGAAATATATTCTATTTTTTGGCACTACATGCAGAAATACCAATTGGTAATTGGCTTGTACTTCCTACAAGAGATCTGAAATCCAAGGCCATTACGGGTAATATTAATATGTGATGTTAATAAAAAGTGATCATAGCATGATATTACATTATAGAAATCATAATATATCAAATTACCAAAAAGCTTTTTTCAGCTGCGTTTGCCGGGAGTCGAACCCGGGTCTATTGCTTGGAAGGCAATTATCCTAACCGTTGGACTACAAACGCCTTGTTAATAAGATTTATTAACATTTATTATCAACAAAATAATCATAATATCATATTACAAAATTAAAAAACAGCTGCGTTTGCCGGGAGTCGAACCCGGGTCTATTGCTTGGAAGGCAATTATCCTAACCGTTGGACTACAAACGCCTTGTTAATAAGATTTATTAACATTTATTATCAACAAAATAATCATAATATCATATTACAAAATTAAAAAACAGCTGCGTTTGCCGGGAGTCGAACCCGGGTCTATTGCTTGGAAGGCAATTATCCTAACCGTTGGACTACAAACGCCTTGTTAATAAGATTTATTAACATTTATTATCAACAAAATAATCATAATATCATATTACAAAATTAAAAAACAGCTGCGTTTGCCGGGAGTCGAACCCGGGTCTATTGCTTGGAAGGCAATTATCCTAACCGTTGGACTACAAACGCTTTGTTGTCAACAGTAATCCAAATAAAACTAGTATCTATTGAATGAAAATAATAGCATCAAATAGGTCATTATTAATGTTGAAAATAGTTTATATTTCTACAGATAGATAAAGATTATCAGTAAAAACTAAATCATTATGCACTATCATAAAATTTACTTGAAATTCATTTGGTCATTTAAAGATTAATAATATCAAATAAATCATCAAAATGACATTAAAGTAGTTATTTTATCATATTTCTATACATAAAAATAAAAGCTAATTTTTATCCCTAATAGTATTGGAAAAATAAATAATAACCCAGATATGCAAAAAACCAAATTAATTTCTTGTGAATCTGAAAAAATAAATTATAAATTTACTTTTAAAAAATGAAGTCTTTAAATTGGAGTTTATATATATATATATATATGACGGATAGACACTTTCTTTATCACTCTTGTTAATGTTCTTTTTTATTATTGATTAAAAATTACAAATTTTAATAACCATTACCATTAAATGTGAAGAGAAACTCATTAAATAAAATGCAAAGACTCACAACATTTATAATTTCTAACAAATTTCCGTCAATAATAAATAATACTAGAAAGAATGTCTAACATTCCTCAATAAGTAATGATACCCATTCACCCTATTTTGGGATGAATTTAGATGAAAATAAGAGAAAAATAGAAAGGAATAAAAGAGGTAGACAGAGAAATTAATAGAAGTAATAGTTGATGTGATGAAAAGAAAGGATAAAAAGAAAATAGACCGAAAGTCATATGGAAGGAAATGTAAATGTATGAGTATTATTCTAAAAAAAATACTTCTTTATTTTTGACAACTTTCTTTTTTATTTAAAAAAAAACAATTATTTTTCAAAATCAATCCTACCTTCAGTGATAACAAGAATCTGATTTGATTTTGCGCAGTCTAAAATCCTTATGATGGATAGAACCTCTCATCAGTCCTTATATTGAAGTGATCAAACCACAAAAGTTTTAAGACAATTCAATGATTGATCATAGGTTCTTGTAGTCAATGTCAAATATGAAGAACTATTATAGGTATGAAGAACTCCATCCACAGCAAGAAATCCCTAAGGAACCTATCTATTGTGTTTTCCACATTAACTAGAGTGAACAAAAGATAAACTAAGGAATGCTCTCTACAAAACGAGCAAAGCTAGGGTACTTGGGCTCCCAACCAACAACCTGGCGGGTTCTTGCGTTGTTTAATCTCTTCCCTAGAGGCCCATCAGTTCCTGTAAAGGCAAAGATTAAAAACAGAGTCATTGAGCTTTGAGAATCAAAGGAAATAATGAGAATCGTTAATTGCACACTCTTTAACACACTTTTTTGAAAACTCTTTATTATTGACTGAAATTAATTAGAAATCACAAATTTTAATGAGCCCCACTCATAATTTTGTAATTTTCAATAAATTTTAATCAATATCTAAAAATATGCTAAAGAGTGTGTTGCTATTACACTTCAACATATAAACAACACAGGTAGGTAAACATTGATAACAGTAGAGATTATACCAACACAATAAAGTAATGATAGTATTATTTGAGATATGTTTTACTATGAAAGAACTCACCAGTAAACTTATCAAAATTTTTACTGAATTTCCCACTTTTATTAACCAGATCCATCATTTCTTGCCTGTAAACACATGAGCAGTGTGAGGTTGTTATTTTTCAACCAAAAAGGGAAAAAATCACTTTAAATAGATATATACCGCCAGAATAATCAGAATGTCATTTGATAAGTTAAAGGGAGAGCATCTAACCTGGACAAAGGATGATTATCACAACCCAAGAAAATTTGTCCACGAAAATTTTTCTTCAAGATTGCAACTGCGAGGGAAGCTGCATCCTGGTGTGCAAGCATATCAATGAGCACCATTTTTAACTCCAACATAAGAACCACTACTAAATACATTAAAGAATGCAAAGTATAGGAGAATACATCAAAGGCTTGTTAAAAGGAAGATGTGTCTCGGCATGAAATACAAACATGATAAAAGATTGACAAGTAGGATTAAAATTGATAAAGAAAAAAGAAAACAGAGGGCAGGGCACAACCTCAACTAGAATATATTAGCCTAAAGTTTCTATGAAAGGTTCTTAGATAATTTGATCATTATGAAAATTGTTTTCATTTTTCAAAAGGGTTCACTAGTTTCTAATTGAGCCTTGCATTTTATATTTAATATTTGCTTATAAGCAAGCAGGCTACTGCTTATAATTAAAATTAAGGAAAAAAAACTAGAGTTCATTCATGAACCAAAACTAGAAGCATTCAAGTATGGTCTCAAACTTTCAAATGTACAGGAGATTCAACACGCTCTAGTAGACTCGAAAAGAATGTTTGTGTCGAGACTGATAAGTCTACTGAGGTGAAGTCAAAGTAACACTTTTCTAGAAATTCCTAGAAGTACAAGAGGGGTAAGCTTGAGAGCAAAATTAGAACAACTTAAACCCTAATACATCGACAACATCACACTAAGTTGCAACCATACCCAACCACGACTTTTAGAAAGTTATAGTTTTGTGAGTGAACTATAGCTCTGAAGATTTGTAGTAAACATTCTTAACACCTAGCTGTAGAGGCTAGGGTGGATTAAAAGAACAATTTTTGACGAATGAAAATCCCAACAGTTTAGGAATGGATGTAGGTCCCTATTTTGACCAAAATAATACAGAAAAAAGCGTTCGTAGTTTTTACTTTAATTGCTGCTTATATTCCAATGCTTACATTTTAGATAATGCTTCAGTCTCATGCTTAATTTTGCTTAGAAATGAAGTGAAAAAAATCCAAAAGCTCCCTCTTCAACATTCTCGAGTTTTTTATAAAACAAAATTAGCTAATCCAAAAATGTTGTTTTCAGTTTGCATCTCTGCATCATAGTTGATTTTTGTACTCACTCAGTTTCCCCCAAATCTGCAATCTGCACGTGTCATGTTCTGTTTTCGGTTTTAAAACATATTTAAACCACTAAATGGATATAATCTGATTCTTTCTATTGTAATAGATTTCTTGAAGAAATCAGCAAACTAGGCTAACTGAGTATTCTAATTGGAGCTCATTAACACCACCACCACCACCACTTCGACCTTTATCTGTAGCTCTTACCAGAATATATATTGACATTGATATAAAACAGGTTACAAAAAAATAAGTTAAGTAAATACAGAAATAACTAGAGATGAAATGGCATTCTGACCTCATAATGAATAAGATTTAGGATGTGATCAGGTCGACTATCAACAATACCCTTTTCCAAGTAATAGTTGTGTGCACCTCTATCTGCTTCGTAAAATTGGTCAAGGTTGCAATGAAATAAAAGCAAAGTGGCTATGATCACTTAGGTTAAAACAATTTCTTGCGTCCTAATAATTTGAGTCCAACCAAGGATATATATAACCCTGCCAATCTTAGAACACAGCCACCAACCTCCAGTACCACATTTTCAGCTTTTAGAAGGACATCAGTCCTAGGGTTCCTCCCAATTGGTACAACTGGAGAATCCTAAAATGAAGTATATCCCATCAAGATAAATCAACAAACGTCTAAGCCCCGCAGAAAGGGAAAATCTGACACTATCAATTGACAAAATGCAATTAAACAATTTGCATATTATACTATTATTTGGGGAAAAAAAAAGTTTGTACCTTGACGTAGGCTGGAATTATCTCCTTAATTTAAATCAAAACTGAGAAAAACAAAAGAAAATGACAGTTTGGATGTAATACCCACCTCATCACATGGTCCATTATCATTACAATCATATGGAGCACTGCTTGACGTAAATAAGAAAGAACCTTCACCATTCCAGCTTAATGCAGCTAGCCTGATTAGTTGACAGTCCACATCAATACATGAGTTTTTAAGAAGACAACTACTACAATATCAAAAAAATTTCTTTCATTAAGTTTATATATTTTTTCTCTAACTAAATTGTATATATGAGGCGATCTTAGAAAATCCAAGTTGATCAGGCCAACCAATTGAATATTACTACAGGAACTTGATGTAAACACTCAGAAAAATACTCAAATGTTAGACAAGATCGGATGCCCATGTCAATCTGTCCAGGATCGGTGTAAACATGCAATCAACCAGTCAACTTCTTCATAAAGATTGATAATTCTGAGATTGAATGCAATTAATACATCCTTCTCACCTCAAGTTTTGTTTTAAGGTATGTTTGGGAGTGGGGTTTTAGCGGGAAAGGGAAGGGAGGAGATTTTTTTAAGGATGAGCATTCTGGGTGAAAAAAGTTTATAACAAGAATTTTATCTTTTGACATTATGTTACATGATAATGCTCACAAAAAGACATCATGATGTAGTATTTCTTTTTCCCCTAACTACCATTTTACTGATGAAAAAAAAAAGACATCATGATGATATAAATGAAGTAGTGTTTATTCGTGTGACTTCAAGATATACAACAATAATCATATTGAAAAGATTCAATTTACAGATTGATGGTGCTTAAAACTTATTGATGATATTCAACCAAATTCAAAATCCCAGATCATATATCAGCACAACAACAACTTGTAGGAATTTAGAAGCCTGATTTGTGATTTCAGAATATAAAGAACACTCCCTAAATGGTGATCCATTTTCCAGTACAAAGGTGTGCACTAGCACAAGTTAACCAACTGAAATCCTAGAAATAACCAAACTAACTGACCAATACTTAATGTATAACTAAGTGTTGGAACAAATTCATTAACATGTTGTCATACCCTCAATATTTCTCACCTAACATTACCAGCATAGTCTGGGGTCCGGGAAGGTGGAGCACAATAAAGGACATTCGGAAATTTGTGAGTAGCTTCTGTCCATTTCAAAGACGGGTTAATACCCATTTGAATCAACTCGTTGTGATGATCAGTGGTCGCTGTCTGACCATAAACTTCACAACCAGGAGTTTCCTGCTTGCACACACAAAGATACAAAGATAAATAGATAGATGGAAAATACTGAATATTGAATAGTCACAAGTGTATAGTTGTCATGTTCTATTAGTATAAATTTTTTTTACTTTTAAAGTGTCAATTAATTAAAAGTCATCCTAAACTTTTAAAATAATTATTACAAATTCAACAATTTTATTATGGCAAAACTCATACATTATTCATCCTGTGTTACTTTATTATAAGAATTGGAGTTTTATTTCAGTTATACACGTTAATATTTAAATAGATATGTTATTGAAATAAAAATTTAATTTTGATTAGAGAATATCAGAGTACTGCATCTTTTGTTATATATAACTGTCTATGATTGGACTACCATTTAAATTCTAGTCAAAATGCCGATAAATCATAATAAATAAATTTTAAAAATATTTTTAGTTCTTTAAATTTAAAATAAATTTATTTTAATTTTTCAAATTTAAAATTAATCTTTTTAATCGGTAAAATTTAAAAAATTCTTTTTTTAATCATTATCCTCAAATTTTATTAATAAAAATATCACATTAAACTCATTTAATAGAATTTAATTGTTTCAATTTGTCACATGAGATACATTATTGAAAATCTAAGAGATTAAAATAATATTTTTAAAAATTACAAGAATTAAAAATAATGATTTTAATTTTGAAGGATCGAAAGAACAAATTAATCTTAAATACAAGATATTAAAAACACATTTAAGAAATAAATAATATAAGCAACAAAAAGTTTAAAAAACAAAAAAACACACCATTCCATACATATTTGCCCTTGTTACTTGTACTATGTCCAAAATAAAAATCAGCATGAGCTAACATTTCAATTTACGATAACTAATTGACCCAAGAAAATGAAAGACTACCTGACGCCATTTCTGAGCAACCAAACGGCCAAGAACCCCGGGACCCACAATGAGCAAGTCATGTTCCGCCATTACCCGAGGAGAGGAAGACGTTGGTGAGAGTGCATCTAGTGAAACCCTCAAATGGGTTGCCTTGGGCATCGAAAAAGATGCCAACTTTACTCTGCTTCCCAAGTGAGAGTGAGAGGAACGCAGGTGGGGTGTGAGGAACCTCAGACATGGAACGCTATCACGGAGATTAGAGAAATTCGCAGGTAACTTGTGAGGTTTGAGAAGAGCATTAGTGGTTGGGATACACGTGGTTCCCATCATCAGAGGTGGTTGAGTTGGTCTCACTCTCACTGTGAAATTAGTTGTCAAGGTTGCAATTGCAAAATTATGTCATCTTTTTCGCTTTCACCTAAACCACTTAAATTTGAAGTCAACAGTCAATTTCATAAATAGCCATGATTAGGTTAACTTACATGCCTACTATGTAATACTCCTGCACTTTTACACATATATTAAGAAAGATAATTAAATTATATGTATTATTTATTTCATATAAAACATATGTTATATTTTATTCAAATATTTTTAATCATATTTATTTTAAATAGTATTCTTATTTATTGTTTTAAAAGTATTAATAGATTAAGAATATTAAATAAAATTAATATAATTTAAAAAAATTAAGAATTTTTTATAATATATATAAGTTCACAGAGAGTACCAATGGAAAAAAAAACACATGATTTGTTTTAAAAATAAAATAAAAAATAAAGTGTACAGTTTAAAACGGAATTTATTTTGTCAAATGAATTGAGAGATAAAGATGTAAGCAATTTAGAATAGAATTAAAGTTTTGTATATATTTTTTTTAAAACTAATTAAGATATTTCAGGATCGAAAGCAAGAACTAATTTTTCAACGTAGAAATTCATATAATAATTCACCAAATTATAAACACTAAAAACAAATAACAATTTTGATCTCTAATTTAGCCAAAAAGTTGAATTGCATTTTTTTAATGATATAAAATAAAATAAAATAAGTATAAAAATATAATCTAACTTAAATATTATCAAATATAATTATAATACCAATAATTTTAATAATAAATGGATGAAGCTTAACATTAAATTTGCAAAATTTATAAAATTAGAAAAATAAAATTGTTAAATTAAAGACCAAAATTACAAATAAAATATTATATGAAAATCAAAAATGTATTTTAACCTTTTTTATGAATAGATATAATTTAAAACTAAACAAATAAAATAGTTGTAATTTTAGAAATCGCATTCTCATTATATCATCTAAGAGATGTTTCAAATTTAACGTTAGACACTCCGATCCTAGATATGTATAACTAGAATTTAGGGTTTGTTTGGATTTGAGGATGGAAAAGGGGGAGTGGAATACTACAATAATAGAGAGGTTTGCTAGACCCTAAAACTAGCATTGGGCCGGCTAAAGCTTTAAAATGTCAGTCCAACTTGTAGAGGCTAAGCTATGAAAATACTACAATAATAGAGAGGTTTGCTAGACCCTAAAACTAGCATTGGGCCGGCTAAAGCTTTAAAATGTCAGTCCAGCCTGGAGAGGTTGAGCTACGAAAATACTACAACAACAAAGAGGGTTGCTAGACCTTAAAACTAGCATTGGGCCGGGTGAAGCCTTAAAATGTCAGTCCAACCTGGAGAGGCTGAGCTACGAAAATACTACAACACAACAAAAAGGGTTGCTAGACCCTAAAACTAGCATTGGGTCAGGTGAAGCCCTAAATTTCAGTCCAGCCTAGAGAGGCTAAGCTCACAATATACACCCTCTTCAACGAGGTACAAATAAAATAACACACTACCATGCGACAAATAGAACAGCAAGAAGAATCTACATCAAGTCAGAAGCCTAGATGGTACAAGTTTACCATCCTTGTTACCCAATCGAGCGTACAACCCAACACTCAGTTGCTTTAAGGGGAAAGGTTATAGGTAAACACCATCTACCCAAAGGAAATGATGTGGGGGCATCTACATTGTTGAAGTGAAAAGGAAGATTCAGATGTAGCAACAAAAGAAGCGACATGGAACATTCATATGGATCCTGAAGACTAGATGTTTCAGTTTACCATCCTTGAATACCCAACGGGGCATACCACCTGTAGACCCCTAAAATTGTCCGGGTCGGAAATAAGACTCGAAGACTCTCGAAGACCAAAGGAAAGTCAGCCGGAAAGACTCCTGGAAGACCCTGGAAGACCCTAGGATGACAATCTGTAGGTTTAGAGGTCTTAGAGTAGCAAAAAATAAGAAAGTGGAGGGAATGAAGCCCAATACGGCCTCCCAAAAGTTCAGTACGGCCGTATTGAACATTTTAAACTACAATACGGCCGCACTGAACTCAATACGGCCGTATTGAAGTTTCTGAACTTCAATACGGCTGCATTGAATTCAATACGGCTGCACTGAACTTCAATACGGCTGCACTGAACTTCAATACGGCCGTATTGAGGTTTTTTGAACTTCAATACGGCCGTATTGAATTCAATACGGCCGTATTGTAGTTCAAAACTTCAATACGGACCGTATTGACCC